CCACTGCGCTCCACTCCCAACAGCCCCTGCAGTGCCAGGTTAGGAGGTCCTGTCGGTGGCCAATTTAGGGTCCCAGCAAAAAAAAAGTTGGGAACCACCGATTTAGAGGTAATTCTGCACTGATTGATCAAAATACCCCCACTTAACTGGACAACATTATCTGCCCACTATATTCCACACTGGCAAATGAGTTATCTATCCACCATTTTGGACAACAGCACAGGATGTCCAGCAGTTTTAACCTCTTATTTCAATTTTTCTAGAAAAATATATTGGTACTTTAAAATACATAACTTCAGAAATTTTATTTGGATCAATAGAAAAGAGAATTCTTCATACCAATAACCCATTTTTTTTAGTTTCCATTGTGTATATTCCTAGATGTTAGGGTTGGAAGGGACCTCAACAGATCATCGATGCTGACCCCCCTGCCCTAGGCAGGAAAGAGGGCTGGGGTCAGATGACCCCAGCCAGATGCCTATCCAGTCTTCCCTGGCCCCAGCCCCAGCCCCAGCAGGTCAATCTGTGGGGAAGGGAAGGGGCAGGGGCCAGACTGAGGCCCCACAGTGAGCGGCTGACCATGTGGCCCAGCCAGGAGCAGGGGAAGGTAAGTGGGGCCCCAGCCCAGCCAGGTGGTGGGAGGACTGGAGCCCAGAGAGGCTCCTCCAGGGGCACGGGGGACTTCCTCCCTATTTCTGCAGAGGCGGAGGTGGCAGAGGATGCTGCCACTGTGCCTCAAGTCCTGCTGCAGCTGGCCACGTGTGAGCGCGGCTCAGCTCAGCAACAGGGATTCACGTGGGGGCGGCCCCAGCCCAGCCAAGTCTGGGAAGATCTGGTCATCCAGGGGTTCATGAGGGGGGCTCCCACCACTGGGCACAGCCCGGCAGACGCCCTGGGGGCCCATGCTCCCCCCTACCTGTACTCGGGGCACAGCAGGCAGCCCGCAGCATCAGCCACCTTGTCCTGAGCCCGAGTGGGGAGGCACGGGCCTCTGCTAGGCTGCATCCAGAGGCAGGAGCCTTCCCCCCACCCCATGTGCCCTTGAACCATGGAGACTTCCAGACCGGGCTGGGTTGGGACCCAAAGCCATGTTCCTTTGGCTGCCGGGCGGGTGCAGCTCGGTGCTGCCATGGCACAGAAGTGAGATCAGGCCCCAGCTCAGCTGGGTCTGGGACACTCCACAGTCCAGGGGCACGTGGGGCAGGGGGGCAGGGCAGGGAGCAAGGGTGGGGGGGAGGGGTGCGCAGTAGATCCTGGGCTTAACCTTTAGTTCCAAAAAGTGACCTTCACCATAAAAAGGTTGGAGACCACTGATTTAAGTGGACTAGAGTCACAGGATTGACAGGTACAAAACTTAAACCCAACATTTCCAAAGTCCTGTTCACACAGTGGATCAAGAACTTCTATGATAATGCCAAGAAATTATATCAAAAAAGGATAACAGCCTAATTTATTTCCTTCTGGACTTGCACCATTATTTATTCTCACATAGTAGCCTTTAAACCCCCCTTCTCCTACATTTCTTTTTTGTTGCTGCTACTGTTCCTGAAGAAGATCCTGAACCTCTTATCTTTCCACTGTCTTCATATGTTCCGTATTCCTCTGACTTCAAATTACAGTATGACTTTCACTAAATACTAAGCAACAACAACAAAATCAAACAAAAAAGCCCAGATAAGTTTAAACTCAACAGCCTTGGAATTTGTTTTCTTTATTTGCTTTCTACTACTGAAGCTTTTAGGTTAGGGAGAGATATACAAAAAGCCAAAGCCTGAATTGATTCAATCTTTACAGGTTAGTCTCACCTGCCTAGATTGAACCAATTTGCAAGTAAATAGACATTTCTTTCGACTCAGGAAGTGCAGGCACATGCCTGCAGTGGCTCAGGCCAGAAGCCGGGGGGCACTAGAGCGTGCCCTCAGCTGCATGGAAGCTATGCTGGGGGGACAGGGCATACCCAGGCCAGGGCAGGCCTGAGTATGATTGGGGAGGGGTTAAAACCCCCAGCAGGTACCCCAGCCAGGGTGCGCCCGGAGGGACAAGGACAAACAAGCCCTTGCCAGTAGGGGTGTGCAAAGAGGGCCATATTCGATTTGGATTTGGCCTGATTTGGGGGACAGTCATTCTATTTGTTGATTCAGATCACTGTCCTGGTTCAATACAGCCAAATCCAAATCTGAAGATTCGATTCTGATTCAGAGAATCAGTGATTTGGCTATAGACACAGCTTTAAATGTTTTTTCTACATACATCAAGGTACCAGGTGTAGCTTGTGAACTCTGAGATGGTGGGGTGGATGGAGAGTCCCATAGGAGCGTGGGGAGGCCCCCCGCGTGCTCAGTGGTGGACCCAGAAGTGGACCCCTGTGCCTCCCCGGCTTGGAGATCAGCTGCGGGAGGACCCCAGGTATTCCACCAGTTACCGAGCTGGGGCGGGGGGGAGGTCCCCCATGTGCTCCGTGGCAGACCCGGAAGTGGACTGGATGTGCTTCTGGTCCACTTCTGGGTCTGCCGTCGTGCGTGCTGGGGACGTCCCTGTGCTCCCGTGGGATGCTCCATCCACCCCACTGTCTCAGCATTCACAAGCCGCCTGATAGCATGAGGTATGTAGAAAAAACATATAAAGCTGTATCCATGTCTGAATCATCAAATCTCTCCGACTCGACTCAGAGGGTTCCGACTCGATTCGGAGATGAAAGGATCTCCTGATTCGATTCGGAATCGGAGATTCAGCCACTAAATCAGGCCGAATCTCTGCTGAATTGAATTAGCAACCAAAGTTTCGCACAGCCCTACCTGCCAGACATTTCCCACTCCTGCACTCACAGCTCCAGTGGTGGGGACATGGCCAACCCCCACTGTAGTGTGAAGCGAATGGAGATGGGGGTTTAATTCCCCCCTCTGTCCCCTGTCCCACCAGCATGGATCCCAGCCAGGTAGAGGCGCAACAGCCTTTGCCAGGCATTTCGCCACTCATTGCTCCAGCAGCAGAGGCATCGTCAGCCCTGGCAGCGGTGCGAAGCAAATGGAGATGGGGGTTTAATTCCCCACTCCAACCCCTGTCCCAGTCACATGTACACCAGCCGGGGTCTGCCTGTCTGGGCTGCAGCAGCCTGCATCAGGGTCCCTTCTCCCACTGCTGCAGGGGTGGGGGCATAGCCAGGCGCCAGCTGGCATGGCCACCTGAGGTGAAAGGGGCAGGGAGGAGATGCCAGCTCAGGTCTGCCTGGTGAGGGCAGAGCAGCCCATCAGGCATTTCTCCCCCACATCGCCACTGAAGCAACAGTGGGCATGGCCAGCCCCAGCACTAGCCTCAAGTGAACTGGTCAGGGAGGGGGTTTAATTCTCCCCTCCGTCCCTGCTCCACTGGCATGGACCCGAGTCAGGGTCTGCCTGGCACTCCCCTCACTGCCGCAGCAGCAGCAGGGGTATGGCCAGACTCCAGCTGGCATAGCCACCTGAGGCAAAGGGAGCAGGGAGGGGGTTTGTTCCCCCTCCTTCTCCTCTTCCTCCTGGGGAATTGCAACTGGGTTCTGCTAGTCCTGACTGCCTCCTCCACTGATCACTTCTTGCACAGGGTGTGCGGCGGAATAAGTCCCCTCCCTGTCCCTTTTGACAGATGCCAGAAGGAGGGGGAAATCAACCCCTTCCCTGCCCCCTTCACCTAAGGGGGCCATGGTAGCTGGCCTCCAGCCACACCTTACCCCTGCTGCAAGAGGGGCAAGGGGGAAGGGACTCTGATGGGGCAGCGACCCCTGTGATGGTGTCCTAGGAGCACAAGCCTCTTCCTGACAGAGGGGCTGTGCAGTGGGCAGGAGCGGGGTGGGCAGAGCTGCTGCAGACTGCACAGGGCACAGCTCAGGCAGGGCTGGAAAGCATGCTGGGATGCTGCAGGACTATGGTTTAACTTAAACCTTAGGGTTTATAGTGATTAAGAGGGGAAGGACTTTTTTATGATCGCTGAAAGCTGAGTGACATAGTTGTACAGTTCCAGGAGGCGGGTCTATCAGAAAAGACACCAAATATTGTGAGACAATAAGAGTCACAGGGGTTGGCAGCACCAAGTTTCTGATGCTGTTTGTCTCCCTCTCTTTTCCATTAGTGTTTCACTTTTCTCTCTTACGACCCCAGGACAGACCTGATGCCACAGGCTGCTGGCAGGGCCCCGTCTCACGCGCTTAATTGTTTACACACAAATCAAACAGGATTTACAGTGCTGGCTCTACCAGACTTCTCTCTGTCCTGGGTCTTCATTAGTACCTCGCTTATCTCTCTCTTCCCTCCTCACACGCTCCGTCTTGCTGTTTTCTTCTACTCAATCTTTCTTTTCTTTATTTGCTTAAGCTAATAAATGGTGGCTAGTAGTTTATAGCATCTGATGAAATGGGCAGGGAGGAGACTAATGCATGATAGAGGAGCTGGGTCTGCATTGAAATTTCAGGAGCTGTTGCTGGAAGCAGGCAGGTGTGACATACAAAAAGCTTATGTCTCTCTCTGACTGTGTTGTAGTCTAACAGGCTCCACCCTGCCCTGCTTTCTGCCTGGCTTGTGCCCTATAAGCATGTAACCAATTGTCTCATTTGCCTCTTCCCCGATTCTGCTGAGAACCAAACAGAATACTGTTTAAAAGTGTCTAGTTGTTTTTCCAGTCGTGGGGAAGAGTTGGAAATCAGCTATGTACAACTATTAAATCTGCTATATTGCTCCCTACCTCAAAACTAGGTGAGCTACTGCTGGCAAAACAACACAAGTGCCATCAAGCAATTATAACAACATAGTGAAGTACATCTCCAAAACCCCTGTATATGTAACTTAGATATTTGTCAATTCCTCATGTCAGATATTTACTTTCTAATGACTATGCTATTGTGCATCACATGGTTTGAATGAGGCTGTACTTCTGATTTCTATCAATAATTAACAGCGTCCTTTTGGTTCCCCCCTCCTCTTTAGCATACCTGTGAGGTAGGTAGCCATGTTAGTGTGAAGTTGGGCAGAAGGCTGGCACTTGATGGCATTTGTGTTCCTTTTATCCACCCAGCCAGCACATTTGCCCCAGCAGCAGGCACTCCAGCCCACATCTCCCTGTCACACATTTCAGTGGTGTCAGGGGTTACATTGCTCCTAACTGAGCCAGCCTGGGGAATCAAAGCCATTCAAAGCAAAACTCCATTGAGTGGCAAAAGCTGCAGTCTGTGAAGGGAGCAGAGAATTGGTAGGAGGGGCAGTAACCTGTCCTTCACCTGGGAGACTCATCCCTCCCCCTACCTGGCACACACAAGGAAATGCAGTTCAGCTCTCACCGGAGTGAGACACAGGAACAGCCAGGAAGAAAACTTGGCCTGTTCAACTTGAGCCTCAGCCGAATCAACTCAGAGGCCTTGGGTTGCTACTCTTGGACAAGTGAGGAGCTTTAAACACTCTTAAAAAGGGGTGGAAGGGAGGATTGCATGGGGGGAGGAGGGTTAGGGAAAGGGCATGGACTTGGTTCTGGATTTTGTAAGGGGAGGAGAATGTGTATGACAGCAAGCTGGGATGGTAGATTTTCATGGGGTACTGCATGCCAGGAGGTTTGCATTTGGGGAAAGAAAGAGAAGGGGAAGGAGACTCTCTCAGGACACAGGGTCTGGGGCTGCATTGAAATTCCTGGCTGTTGGAAGCGGGTGGGTGCGACACGGAAAGGCCTTCACCCCTTGCTTTGTGCCTCAGACGGCCCGGATTCCTAGAGAAACAAGACAACGGAGAGTCCTGTCTTGTCCACTCCTAGACAAACGCAGCAGTTTGCAACTTCCCCTAGGAATATAAGCAAGTGGGTGTGATAATTATTCTAGTTGCATGAGAAAACTTGGGGAATTTACAGGACTTGACCAATGTCAAAAAATCCAAAAGTGACAAAGCTGTAATTTCCTTAGTTACCATGGATTACCATACAGCATATTTTCCCTCAAAACACAACATGTGTTTTCTGAGCACGGGTACCTGCAAGTTAGCTCACTGTCCGGCTACTTTTTTTTTTGCTACAATAATCCTTTTCATAGCTGTGGGACTTGGATTTTGGTGATATTTTTCATTAGACCAGCTGTACAGGTGAGAGAGCTGTTAGACAAGCTTTGGGGCATCAAGTACCAATGTATGAGCTGAATTTGGGGGGAAAAAATAAATTATTTTTTCACTTGTTTCATGTGCAGGGAAATACTTTTTTAATACAGGAAATTCCACAAACTTCCCTCTTTGAACTCAACCTCAATCTCCTGTTGTCCTCAAGGGAATTGAAACTCAAGGATGCCCTTAAGAAAGGCAGAGCCTATGTCTTTCAAAATAGTTGCTGCCTTCCATTGGCACTGGATTCAAGCTGCCATGGTCAGGGGTGTCAAATTCACCCCATACCCTGAGCCATATCCAGGCCATACAGCTTCTCATGGGCTGGAGCTACAGATGGCAGGGGGGAGGTAGATGTGGCACGGCCAGCAGATGCAGCCAGCGGTTGGGTCCAGTGATGGAGGCAGGAGGTCTAGTGTGACTGGTTCAGCACAGTGCTGCCACCCTGGCCACTGATGGCCGTGCCCAACAGGGTCCTATACCCCATGTTCTGCACCAGACCCTGCCCCCTAGCTCCCTGGGCCCCCAGGAGTCCCAGAGGGAACAGCTCTGTCATCCAGATCCAGCCTGTTGGTGGTTCACTTAATGTTCCTGATTGAAGGCATTAATCTTACCATTCAGTTTCTAAGTTGTTCTGGGGAATACTTACATGTCTATAATACTGTACTGTAAAACAGTGGTTTGCAACCTTTTTTGTATCAGGACCTATATGTAAACATCGATGGCCACTCCCGACCCACAGCCACCTGGCCCTGCTGGTGCCTCTCACTCCCAAGCCACAGGCCCCTGCCCCCCTGGACCATGCTGGTGCCCCTCACTCACAACCCGCAGCCATCTACCCCCACCAGCCCTGCTGGAGGGGTCCCCCAGCTGCCCCTGTCCTGCTCAGGCTGGAGCGCAGTGGCTGCAGTGGCTCTGGCTCATGCAGGTGACAGTGGAGTGAGTCCAGCCCTGGCATGCAAGAGGAGGGGAGGCCTGTGGCACCCCCCTGTCCTGGGCTGGGGTTCCCATGCTGCACCAGGCAGCCTGGTCACGGCCCCACCTACCCCTAGGCAGGGTTTCCTGGCCGCCCCTCCTCTGCAAGTATGGGCACTGGACCCTGTGCTGCTGGCTCAGCTACACAGCTCTCCGCCACCCCTGAAGGACCCCATCCCCCTGCCCCCCGCTGGAGGGACAGACACCTCCCCCCATTCCCCCTTGCCCTGATCCAGCCCTGGTGCTCAGCCACCTTCCCCCAGTGCTGACAGGCACCCTCCCACACACACACCTGTCCTCCTCCACACTCATACCGACACCCAGACAGTCCCCAAGCCCTGACCCTCCAACCCCCACTCCCCATACACTTACCTGTATCCAGGTGCTGAGGCTGCTCCCACAACCCTGCCTGGCTGCATGCCAGCCACATGCGTGTGCATGAGCAGAGGCATGTGCACCCTCTGCCTCCAGTTGCCCCAAGCAGCTCCTTGCAGACCGAAATGCTGCCAGCCTGCAAGGGGAAACCCACGCTTTCCCGCATTTTTCTGGGACTTGCTTGCAACCCTTTGAAATATTCTTATGACCCACTTTTGGGTCACGACCCATAGGTTGAGCAAGACTGCTCTAAATTACTGGGGACAGGTACCCTCAAAGTTAGCTACATCTTAAAATAGAGCCTTGTTGCACAGGATGTGTTTTATCTGAGAGCATAGAATGAATTCTGTGCTACATTAAAGGTGAGAATGTGTTCTGAGCAGTTGCATGGTACTGCTGACTACAGTCTCAGCCTGCTCTGGACAGGGCTGGAGCTGGCTGTGCCCCCCTCGCCCTCCTCTCAGAAACTGCTCCTGGCACCAGGTGCTGCAGTTCACACATTTGCCCAAGAATACATGCAGCCCCCGTGCCATCCCAACCACGTGCCAGCGCGGCCCAGCCCGGGAACACCTGCCCTTAGCACACTGGGGCAAGTCAGCTCTGCTGTGGGCCAAGGAGAGGATAGCATTCTTGCTGCTGGATCCTCAGGGTGAGACGGGTCTCCAGGCAGTCTTCAACCCCCTGCACCTCACTGGAATCTGGAACTCGTATTATCTCCATGGAGCACTCCAATGATAGCCGAACACATGTTACTTAATACGATCTGGAGATAGTCCTCCCGGGAAAAGTCATAACTTTGCTACCATACGATCTCACTTAGCACATGTTTTACTGCTTGAACACATGGATGCTTGTATTTTAAGTGCATTTAACACGTCCTAAATGTAATGTGTGATATGACCCATCGTTCTTCTCTGGAAACAGAACATTGTTAGAAGTTTGACTGTGCTCTGGACTGTAAGGCTCCCCTGGCTTTGATCTGTGCTCTCTCCGAAGAACATACTAGAATAAAAGGCCAATTCTTCCTTCAGATTTACATGGCTCTCACGTAAGCCAGTGGAAGCTGCACATGCACACCACACAATGCAGACCTAAGTAGGTGGGTGAAAATTTCCTATGCTTGTTGTCTGATACAAAAAGACAGCACTGTAAGAGTCTTGATTTACTCTTTATAGAGAAGTACAGAAGGGTATTATACACTGTCCCTGTAATCAGGCTAGGAGAGAAAAAACAGCCTGTGAAAATAGCTCAAGTGCTGAGTCACAGAACGGTCAAGTTTCCCAGTTAATGGAAAAATTAAAAAAAATCCCACACTTGTCCCTCTCTCTAAAGTAGACACTTTGTTAGTAGATTGAGGACTCTGCTTCTTTCTGTTCCCCAACAACAAAAGCTTTGTTCCTCAGTCACCTTTAGTGAATCTTGCCCAACATGAGAGCAATTATGTTGTGCAAATGGTGGTCAACGAATAACTTAAATTTGAACTGTGAACTGAATCAGTGTTATGTCTCTTGCTCAGGAGATTATTTCAGCCAAAAAGAATACATGTAAGAGCCAAGATGTCTCACACAGACAGACCTCACAGAGATAAACCATACCGATACCACGAGAGCCACGGTTATGACAGGTACACCACAGAGAGACGGACTAAAGAACCATACCCATCCCATGGAAGGTATGTCTTGCATCTGTAAAGGAAGTATTATCTGGATTTTTATACTCATTGCAATAATATCAGGAAAAGCACATTCAGCCTTTAAAATGCAGAACGAGCATGGCATGTTCAGAATTGAGAAGTTACTTTGTGATTAGAAATTGTAAAGTATGTAATTAAATGCAAGTGTTCTTCCTACTAGATTCTTGAGTCACAGTAGGCTGGCAGACAGGGAAAGCTGAAATAGAGGCATGGGAGTAGCTGAGTTTTTATGGCCAGACCTGGATCACATACATAGGGGAATAGTGGTCATGTGACTTAGCCACATTTTCCTAGGAGGGATTGTCATATGGTTGTCCAGAATGGGGAGGGCCTGTCTACTAGGGCTGTGCGAAATTTCGACAAATCATTTGTTTCAAAGCTGCTTCAAGCTCAAAACACAATCAAAACAAAATGAAAGGCTTTGAAACAGCTTCAAAAGGAAGCAAGGGCACTCGAAATGTTTCAAAAGTTTCAAAATGTTCTGAGTTTCGAAGCTGGACTTGTTTGCAGCTAAACAGAAACTTAGAAGAGGGAGGGGGAAGAGGGGGGAAAGGACTGCTCTGATATGGACATCTAGCTCCCAGTTCAATTCCCCAGTTCTCTGCTCACTTCCCCAGCTCTTCCCAGGGGGTGCGGGCTGCTGATCTACATGCAGGGTTTCAGCAGGCTGCTGCTGCAGGCTGGAGCAGACTACAGTGATGTCGCTGGCCCCAGCCTGCTGAAACCCAGCACACAGATCCAGGGGCCCGTGCCCCCCAGGAAGAACTAGGGGAATGATCAGAGAGCTGGATAATCGAACCAGGGGCTGGGGGAATGTTTAGGTCCCTGAACATTCCCCAGTTCGATTCCCCAGCTCTCCAATCATCCCCCTAGCTCTTTGATAGCTTTCCCCAGCTCTTCCTGGGGGGTGGGGGCGCAGGCCCCTGGATGATGCAGGATGACAGCAGACTGACGCTGCCAGCTGGGGATGGTGGTGGCTCTTGGGCTATTTCCCCAGCTGGCAGCAGCAGCCTGCTGAAAGCGCACGCACAGATCACAGGGCCGCGCACCCTAGGAAGAATGATCAGAGAGCTGGGGAATCGAACCGGGAGCTCTGGCTAACACATGGAGCCACCCCAGCTCCAGGACAGCACACGGTACCCTGCCAAGCCACGCTGCACCCGCGCCATGGGGCAGCTGCCAAGTGGGTGCCAGGCAGGGGGGATGATCCCTGCTCCCCCACGCTGCATGGGGTGGGTCTGCCACCAGCCCTCAGAGGCCCCAATCACTGCTGCCAGAGTCGGTATGTGCAGGGCTTTATTTTTTAAAGTTCTGCACTCGCTGGCTGCGGAGCATGCAGGTGATGGCATGCTGCTGCTGTCTAGGGCAAACACCAGCACCTGAGTCTGCCAGTGCAGCCTGTGCCGAAAAGAACCCAGTGCTGGCGCGCTGGCCCCAGCTGGCAGCGGCAGCCTGATGTCATCCTGCATACAGATCCAGGGGTCTGTGCTGTGGGGCTGTGCCAAACTCCTCCCGGGGGGGAGCAGGCCCCCAGATCTGCGTGTGGGATGATAGCAGGCTGCCGCTGCCAACAAGTGATATGAGTTTTGCTTGGAATAATCGGAGGTGCAGTTTCACAATACTCTCTGCACCTATCTCCTTGAACCTTGGCAAGCTTCATGCCCTCAGAAGGGGCTACCATCCCTGTAATTTTCATCTAAATCAGGCAAGCAATGGCAAAGTTATAGGTATTTATGTGATTCCCCATTATAACCTATGGGCTAAACGTTGAACCGCATTGAAACAGCGTTGAAACAACGGAACACTTTTGATAAAACAAAACAGAACAGTGCTTCAAAACAGCGAAACGAAACACTGTCCCTTCAAAACAGCGAAATGGAAGTCAAAACAAAACGGTGCTGTTTCGCACAGCCCTCTCTACATGCAGAGTTGCATGGATTTAAACGAAAGATACAATTCAGTTGAAGCAAGTGCAAAGGCAGAACAAATGCTTATTTCAAGCTAAACTAAACTAAACTAGAAACAGGTGCAAATTAATCCAGAATAAGAAAGATCATGCCTTTGTACCCACTTATGTAAGGCATTGCTAATTCAACAGCACGGCTTAATTGCCTAGGGCAGGCTGTGTGTTTGAAGAGAGTCCAAGGCCTCTTTCAGTGCAATGGGTGAAGAAATAAATGGAGAGATAAGGTTGGCTTCTGAGAAACTGGCATAAGTTGCAGTCTCTCTTTCAGCCCTTCCTGCCTACCACATACTGGCATGGGACTGTTTTTTTTTTTTTCCTACTATGACTTTATTTAAGTGTGTCTGCACTATAGTCACTGCCCAAACCAACTTTAAATATAAAAGTGTGGGTACTGGTAGCAATTTAGCCATGACATCACCAAACTATCTTGCTATGCCCTTGTGACTGTAGTGTACCTTAAGAATAACAGAGCCAATTAACTCTTAAAACAATAGAACAGGGAAGGGGAAATGAATTTAAATAGGTTAAAAGTGACCAGAATGTTGAAGTGATTCTTAAAATCTGTATTTAATGGGGACAATAGAGATCTGAGCCATCAAGACTTAAAAATAATGTTAAAGAGCCATGTAGGGAATACAGGGAAATTTTCTAGCGCCCTGGTCCACATGATGTGAATTCTAGTGCCTCAAGCTGCTGAACTTTTTAAAAGTCAAGAAAAACTGGGGAGGAAAGAGATGAAAAGCAAAATGCAGTATTGTTTTTAGAAAGAAAAAGAGTAAGACGGTCTTTCTGTCACTGAAGCAGCCTAATTTTTACCCTTAGTCAAAGGAAGAAAGATCATAAGGGAAATAAACATATAGCTACCTAATGAATAATGGAATTATGAATATATTAAAAGTCTTGCAACAAACTTAACTACTTTTGCTTTAATAGAGTTATCTAAATATTTAAAAAAGACAGCCAGATTTAATATCTGGCACTAAGTGAAGCACCTGCATCAGTTTATCTCAAAATTTACTTTCAACATTAACAACAATGGGCTAGAAACAGAGTGAAAACTGGCTGGAGGACTATAAACAAAGGCCAACAATACATACGGCTGTATCCAGTTTGGGGCCCAGATAAGGGAAATTGCTTGAGGGAAACTGCAGTCATAGTTGATTTTTCAGATCAAAATTATATAGGACACAATTCTCTGAACAAGCAGGAAATCTAAGAGGAACCATCTCCCCAAAGGACTGGTCAACAACTTTCTGCCTAAAGTCTAAATCATTTTGATAGAAAGTTGGGATTTGAACTAAAACACATTTTTGCATGAGATTATGTCTGCTTTTAAGCAGAAGGTTCACACATTTTGTTGAACAGCTATGAAGTGACTGCCCAGAGGAGTTTTCCATCTATTGACTCCTCTGTGAAATCCTATGAAATATGAACTTTCATTTCTACCCAGGAGAACTTTTACAGTCTTTTGTCCAATGCCTGATGAAGGGTGTTAGTGCCCAAAAGCTTGCAATTAAAGATTTGGGGTTTTTTTTGCAAAAATCTTGTCGGTCTAATAACAGATATGATCTCTACTATGAGTCCTGATCACATTTTGTTGAAAAACTTATACCAAAATACTGAAGACTTTCCAAAACCTCAATTTGATTCAACGTGATGGCACAGTGCCTCAGGGCAGATATAATTAGAGTGCCTAATGGTTCAGTTCCCCTCTAGGTGCTATAATCTCAGACCAGACTCCCTCTTTCCATGCACTTTCCCCCAAAACATGCCTATTACATGCCTCTTCCTTTTACTGGAAAGGGGGAGTATGTTGCATCATGGGAGATGTAGTCTGGCCTCAAGGCCCAGCCATTAGAGAAGAATGGGAGCAAAGGTGGCCATAAGAAATTGCTAGAAAAAATACAGCTATCTGGTTAAGATCTTTTTTTCTTATTATTTGGAAAATATATAGCACGTATTTGTGATGCATCACAAACGTGTTGTGATGCAACATTCCTGGCAAGTAGCTCGATATAACACAGAGAAGCAGCTGCATCAGAAGTATCAAAGGGATTGCTTTCAAGTTAGCTGAAAGACATATAAATCACACAGTTTAATTTATGTCACACAGCTGTACAGGACACTTGGGTGGTTGCCCAAGACAGGACAAAGGTCAGAAAATCACAAATGTTTTAGGCAAAAGGGAGCTGTTGGCAACTGCTTCTGCAGATAATGAGTTGGGTCTGGTCTTATTCAACATCTTCATTAAAAATATAAAAATAATCCATTTGGATTCAAACAAGTAAACAAAAGCATCCTGTGACTACATTGGGTTGATACTTTTGGATTATACTAAATTTGTGGCATTGCAGTAAAATAGAGAAGTGCAAAGGCACCAAATGAGACTAGAAAATAAATTCAGTTGTGGGAAAACCCAGACTAATAAACCTGTTGGATAAGTAACCTCAAGTAGAGCTTTTGAGGGTGAAATAAGTTTTAAAGTACCACTAAAAGGGCGCATCTACAGATGTTAAAAGTGCAGTAGACTAATTCTACTGCACATTAGTGTGTCATGGTGAAAGACATACTAATGCGCAAATGCACAGTACAATTAATCTACTGTGTATTAGCATCACCTAAAATGTGCCGGTGCTACTGCACAGTAGTGCTGATTATGGTGCATTTAATACCTGTTATTACCGATACTAACTTAATTAGTAAGTTAGTAATTACAGCGCATTAATGCATGTGTAGATGTGCCCAAAGAGTCTTATAAGACAACACCATATAGGACACATTGAGCCACATGATTGGGCCAAATTGAGCTTACTTTAAGCCATGTGATTGTAGATTGGGAGTGGCTTGGGTATACATTTTCTGGTGCTGGGAGCCAGACTGGGAACCCAGTCTAAGAAATGTAGGGCTATCAGGTGTAGGGGAGTTGTCCGTCTGGGATGTGGAAGTGAGGGAGCTAAAAATAGCCCAGTCAGGGTTGGTGGGGTAGGAAGAGTGCAGCCTCAGGGCTGGGGCAAGCAGCTGGGCTTTCCCAGCCCCACGGCTGCTTTCTGAACATGTGCAGATGTATGGTAGATCAGGGTAACCTGTTCCCAATCTAACTTAGTTCATCTCCTTAGGTGAACTAATTTAAATTGGGCCAGCCATTTTTTGCCTGATTTAACCTCCCCAAATGCCTCCCCAGATCATCACTTAGATCAGCCTAACCCTAGTTAGATAGAGCTAAATGTAACATCTGCACATATCCATTCTGTTTTATCTTAGTTCTTATACCTCCTCCTCATCCCTGCTTTCCACTACTAGGTAAAAGAAGCACAACATGTAATATGTGGTTCTTTCTCACTCTTACCTGGGGAAGAACTTTGTAGTTTGATACGGCTTTTAGGCACGCAATGTCTTTGAGAGAAGGCAGATCAAAGAAACACGCTTTGCACTGGGAACAGAAAGTGGAAGAGCTTGTGATCATCTTTGGTTCCAGTGGGAGTTCATACTGTGGTCTTACTCCTGCCTTGAGGAAAGCTCCGTCTCTCCTGCACAGAGGAATTTTCCCCCTTGTGGTAGAAAGTTTCAGGCCAATGGGAAGGAAACTAAAATCTCACCATATATTGTAAAACAGTTAAATAGGAGAATATGAGTATATACAATGTTATCTCCTCTAACCTTTTTGCATCTTACATTGTTGTAAATGGTTTTAAATGTCATGCTTTTTCTTCTTTCTTTTAAGGAATCTTTGCAGGATGCAGAAAACTACAAACATGGATTAAATGTAGTACATAACCATAAACGGGTTGTACTTACATATTTGTTTCTTCTGTGCAACGCTGCAAACAAATGTTGGCCTTTGGTTTGTCCATGGGCTGGTAATTAATGAACATTTGTTTTTAATGACATACAGTTGCTACTTGATATTTGTAAATGGGATTTCCCCCAATGCCCTCATTTCTTTTGCAGATTCCTTTCTGAGAGCATTAGTAATAGCTCAGTGAACCTATTACATGAATAATCAAAGTTTTTCAAAATAGCTGTGATAACACTACCAGTGAAAATACCTTTATAAATGTTTATTTATGCAAATGTGCATGATCTACTGACTTTCTGTGATCATCCTTGTGAAGCAACTGCATCTAAATATTTGCAAACAACAGAGATGACAATTACCACTGACGCAGATGAGTAGATTTCAGCAATAAGAACATTTACTAACGTTCTTGCAGCACTTGGCCACATGCATGTTGGATTCTACCCTCTCCCAGGCATTAACCCCTTTCTTCCTACTCCATTGCAGGTCAGCAAAAGAGGCTCGCAGCACCCAGCACTCCAGACCTTCCACACTTTGTTCAGATCCTTATAAAAAAAATGCAGTATCAACTCATGGCTACGTCAGCTCTCCTCCCCACTTCTATCCTCACAAACAGACCTTTTCAGAGAAATGTGCAAACATATGCTCAACAAGAGGTATTGTAACTTTTTTTGCTTGCCATCTGCTTTCTTCTTTACACTTTTCCAATCATACATCCCAATTCATAAGCAAAACAAATAGAAGCAAAAGAGGGTGGGAAGATCACTTTTTAAATGGCAAAGCTGCAACTCAGTTATTGGTCTCAAATATCTAAAAACCAGATTTAGGGGAGTATTTTGGTACCTACAGAGACAAATAGGAGTCTAGGGAGATTCAAAGACATACTTAAATTAGACACACTCCCATAGACGTTCCAAGGCAAGTCAGGTGTTTATGAGATTTACAAAAGCACCTACATTTTCACCTTTAGGTGCTTAAATCTGTTTCTAAACCTCTATGTTACTTTCTGCTAGGTTCCACATACAATTTATGAACTTGTAGCATAATCTACCCTTGCCTTAACAAGCTATCTTCACATTTAAATATTCTTAGAGGTAGTGCTATTTTAGGAGCATGAATTAAAATGAGACAGTTCTAAGCAGAAATTCTTGGAGGAGGTTTATTCTGTAATTATCTTAGAGAAACTCTTATCTCCTGTCTGTAGAGAGAGAATTCAACAAGCAGAGGAATGAATGTTAATGGTGAAAGAAAATTATCTGTAGATACTCCATAAATTATCCCGTTAAAAGGTTAACTACAAAGCAAAAACCATCTATTTGAAATAGCCCTGTATGCTCTTCACAGCTGAAAGCTTGTTTAAAAACTATATCCTTTGCCAGCATCACTCAGTGTCCTCACCTCCTCAGTAGTGGTGAGTGCTGCAGTAAAAATTCTCTCACCATCAGGCATGGGGTTGCAAGTTAGATGCTCCAGAGGGGCTGCCAGAGTTCCCTAGCAAAGAAAGGCAAACAAAGGCCTCATTTCAGATGTTAATAGTAGGTCAAAAGATTTGATAGACATATATGTAGGGACATTTTTTGTATACCATAACAGAATAGTAAACATTGGATATGTCTACACATGCGCTTTAATGCTTAGTAGCCTATTTTACTGTGCATTAGTGTCACATAAAAAAACATGCAATTACATTAATGTGCAGTAAAATAGACTACTGCACATTAAGTGCCACTTTAAAAATGTGCGCTTTTGGTACTGCGCATTAGGGCAGCCTAATGCGTATTTATCTAGTACCACACATTGGAGGTACTAAATGTAATGCTCATTAATGCATGTGTAGCTGTGCCCATTGTGTCTGCATTGTGATTTTTTTTAGGGCCTTATTACATGGTATCCTTAGGCAGCTGCTGGAGCTCTTAACCCCTGGACTAGCTGCACATTAACACCTTTTATGGGGCTTAAAGCACTTGTTATTCAGCTTAATGTTACTCCACTCTAGGGCAGGGTTACCTCTAATTTGCCTAATTCTGCTCCTGTTCCATTAACTTGTGGCCACTATCCACAGCTTTTGCACCCAAACTGAAGTCCTCCAGCATTCTAGGAGGCAGTGGGAAAGCAGGGAGGCTGGGGCATAGTGCCTAGTGCCTCACCAGGAGGAGAGTGAGCCAGTCGGAGTGGGCACCACCTCTCTGCCACCAGCTCTGTTCCCAGCTTGGTTCTGGGAACAGAGCCAGCCAGTCCAAGCAGTGGAGAGCAGAGCCAGTGAGTGGTGGTGGTGGGGAGGTGGTGTCCCTCACCCTGTCCCCTCCCCCTTGGACTGACTGGCTCTGCTCTCAGAGCTGAGCTGGGAGCAGAGCTGCTATAAGCAGGAGTGGGGAGGAGGTGCCCTGCCTCTCCATCTCCCTGCTTGGACTGCCCCCCTGTGGCATTTGCACTGCCTGGCAGGAGCAGTGAGAATATCCTTCCCTTAGCTCCTAGTCCTGACCCTGCCCACCAAGCCTCTAGTGGCAAATCACAGCCGTGCAGGTGAGGGGCAGTCAGAGCATATTTTTTGCCATACTGTGCAACTGCTCTACTAAGCCAAACAGCTCTAAGCTGATTAACATTTGTTCTATTTATGGGATAAGGTCTAACAAGGCCCTTACATAGATAAATAAGTATTGTTAAAATGATCTTGAACTTAAATGTATTGTAACTACATACCGTCCTTTCACATATACAACATGGCCTGGAATAAGATATGCACCTTGTTTTTGAAAAGCAGAATAAAGAAAAAAAGTTCTCTCTTCATAGTAACCGAGTAGCAAGAGCTAGGGAGCCAACTCTGCTGACTGTTCTGTTCAGATCATCTGCAGAGTTGCTTTTACTTGCACTCCACAGAAACCTAAGGGGCATATATAACTGTATTTCCTCACTTACAATACACACTCCATGTTCTAGAAGCTGTTTTTTAGGAAAAAGGTGTGTGCTGTATGCTAGAAAATAAGCCTGAATGGCAAATTAAACCATATTCTTTAGGTCAGGAGGTCCCAACCTTTTAAGATTGCAGACTGGCAAACCACGGACCAGAAGTGACCACGGACCAGCAAACTACAGTCCAGAAGTGACCAGCATAGTGTGGAGCAGAAGCCAACCCTTTTTTATACTCAGTATGAAAAAGAGTTGGCTGCCGGTCTGCAGTATGCTAGTCACTTCTGGACTTCCAGTCCAGTAGCCAACCCTCCTGTGGACCAACAGCCAGTCCTTCACAGCCTGGTTGGGAACAGCGGTTGGGAACCTCTGCTTTACTTTATAAAGCATTGGAATTAGCATTAAAAAAGATGCACTGATTTTTTTACACTGTTACAAGAATTTTCCCCATGATAAAAATGTACCAGCAATTCTTTTTTCAATTATATTGAATTATTTTAGTTTTATCTTAGAAGCCTTAAAACCCAACATATTGAAGCTTTAAAAATAAGGTGTAGAGTCATTTTTTATGTTCTAATTTCACCAGCTGCTTGGGCTGACAATTCTGGTTAGTTTGCTTTTCATTACTAATATTTAAGACAAAAACAGCCAAGATATTCAATAAATTACTGGTTATTGATACATCTGTATGGCATAACTACCTTCAGTGCCATAACTGTGGAATATATTTCCCCAAAGAGGGCTGCTGAGCCATTTCAGAAAAAACAAAATCAGAAAAAAAAAATCTGAGTATAGAAAACTAACTTGCATTTCCTTTTTTTACTATTTTGAATCTTAAGACTTGTTTTTAGCTCTCTGTAAAGAAACCAAAGGTGAAAGAAGTGCATGAGCCGTTATGAAACTGGTCTTATGATCTAGACTATTTTCCCATCATAGTTTTGGCAACTGCCAAGACTCAGCAGAGTTTCCTAGAATTGTTTTCTAGATTCCTTATTCCCTGCAGTCCTATAGCAAGTTTTACAAACTAAAAAAATACAGAGAAAGTTTAATATAAAATCAGTTATGGGTATGCTACCATGTAATACAAGCATGAAAAAATCCTTGAAATGTCCTCCTTTTTGTAAAAAAAAAAAAAAAAAAAAAATCTACAAACTTGGCTTGTTGTGTTCTATTCTTGGCCTGTAACATACCACCAGTTGGTTTAAACAAATATTTTGAATCATGTTTTCAAATAGATGACAGCTCATTTACAACTCTTGGGTCATTCACCCTAGGGGAAATTTTATATAATATAATTTCACTCTATATTCAGCCTATAGTCACCCTATTTTCACTCACCCTAGGGGAAAAATATACATTAATTTCCCCCTAGGGTGAATGAATACACACACACTAAATATAAATAGAGCCAGGCCATCCTAAGGAACAAGGCAGAATGATGATATGGGTGTGGGTTGTTTTGGTTTTTTATGCATAGTTGTATTAAAAACTAGAACTTCTGACTAGAACTTTTGACTAGAACTTCTATTCAATTGACTCAATCTACACTTATTCACTTACGTGACTAAACTTCAAGGTAATCTAACAAATGGGACTCACTTTAGGTCCTTACCTCATGAATTAATGCCACCATTGCAATATGTCAAGACCCAGGGAATTAAGATCACTCTGTTGTACCTCTCTCCCCAATTCTCAAATAAACTCAGTTCTGTCAAGGGTGCCACAATACCTTCTTTATGACATTTCCTTTCCTGAGCAACACCTGAGAAGGGAACTTAAATTTATTGGCTTTATACCACTTTCTGCTCTCACTGTACTCCCTTCTTTGCCTTCTGGCCAGGATAAGTCTAACCTCTACACCAGTGGTTCTCAACCCTCTTAGGCTCAAAGCACCCATCAGAAAATGCCTGCTCTTAGCTTTCACTCATTTCTTGACTACAGAAAAATAATAGACCATTCTTCTGTTACAAAGAACTGAGACCATAACAAGTCAGAATGTTTTTGACACTATGGATTTCTACTTGAAATCTCTGGGCTTATTTTATGACACACATGTAGATGTTTGCACACCTAACAATGCTAATATAGCATGACATCCCAGTAGAGAATCACTGCTCTACACACACTGTGGTAGGTTGATGGGGTTGACCAGCTAAAAGGACCCAACAGGATGCTCTTAGTGATATTCTTTAGCCCTGCCTTCTGCTTCTTCCTTTCCTTATCTTCTGCTTGCATATGGGAAGCCAGAATCCGTTTTTTCCCGTTGTGCTTTGTATTTTCAGCTCTTGATGCCTCCTACTGAGATTTATTGATGTTTGCGGGGGCAGTAATTTTCCTGTACAACACCTTCCCCTTGACCCTTGCAAGCTACTTTCTCTATTATCTTCTCCCAAGATGTCAGAAAGACTGTACAAATCTCTCTTAAGCTGAAAATTTATGACTTCAAATTTTATTTTTATTGCAGAGATTTGCTTACAATATTGCTTGTAATACACTATTTGCTACTACACTATTTGCTTACAATATTGAACTGTGCCATATTGATGTTGCATTATTTATAGAAACCACACCAGTCCTTACCAACCTGATTAAAACTGCAGAGGTATCAAAACATTATATCTGTGTCAATAGGCCTGTTTTTCATAGTGCTTTTATTAAACTGTCAAGTGTAATAATCAAATGGAAGTATAACAAATTATAACCAATCTTGTAAACCTACAATTGATCATATTTATACTGAAACAGACAG